GAGGACAGCATGCGGACGTTCAACGGGGAAGGTTGGGTGTGAAAGAGGATGCTAAAGGCATGCCCCCAGTAGGTGTATATAATGCCGGTATGTGCATTTTGCAAAACAACATCCCAAAAATAGCACCTATGAAGAGACACGCCTACAAAGCACAGTTCAAATTGCAAGCGTTCAGTTAGCCGTCAAGGAATCCATGGTTCACACTCCACCTTTTCCAACTGAGGACTTTGATTTGGAGGGGATGATTTGTACCCCATTTGCTTCACACTCAGTTGCGATCCGCTCCAGTAAGAGTTGAACATCGTAGCCTGAAGAAGCCAACAGTACCACATCATTAGAAGAAATACTGAGACCAGAGAACCGCACACCGTCAACACTGTGGCTATAGTTATAAATTCTGTCTATAAAAGTTTTGAACAGAATCAGTGACAAAGAGCAACCTTGGTGGAGTCCAACTCTCACTGGAAATGAATCCGACTTACTGCCGGCAATGCAGACAGCATCCATACAAGGATCGAACTGCCCCTATTAGGTCGTCTGATAACCCATACTCCTGGAGCACCCCCCACAAGATCCACCGGGGTCCACGGTCGAATGCCTTCTCCAAGTCTACAAAGCATACGTAGACTGGTTGAGCGAAATCCCATGCACCCTTATCGAACTGCAGCCAAGGGTGTCCTGGTGTCAAGTCCACATAGTGACACCCTATATTTGAACATGGTGTTCGTTATGGACAATCCTGAATGAGCACAGACGTCCAGTAAAAGAACAGAACTCGGGTTCTGATCAGGGGGGCCATTCCTCCCATTCACGCCCTTCCAGGTCTCATTGCCATTGCCCACGTGAGCATTGAAGTCACCCAGCAAAACATCGGAGTCTCCAGATTTTCCTTCCCAGGACTCAAAAAAGGGTCGGTACTCTGAACTGCTATTCGGTGCACAAGCACCAACAGTCAGGACTTGTCCGCTCACCTGAAAGTGTCCCTTGTCTGGAAGCGGGATACTGGAGCGTCCCTCTGGAGACAGGCCTGGAGGTGGGGTGAAAGCCAAGCGTCTGGTAGCCAGGCCCGCACCCATGGGGGCCGGCCGTTCTCAGTCCGAAAGGACAATGTGGGTCCCCTTCCCATGGGCTCCCCACCTGCAGGAGGGTCCACAGGGGTCAGGTGCGTAGTGAGCTGGACGGCGGCCAAAGGCGCGGACTTGGCGGTCAGGTCCCCAGCTACAAAAGCTGGCTCCAGGGAATTGGATTGTCACCTCTCTGGCAGGGAAAGAGCTTGAGCTACTGTGCAAGGAAGAGAAGTTTTGACTAGATATAGTCGGACTAGGCTCCACACACAGCTTAGACTTTGGTACCAGTCCTCTCGAGAGGGGTTGGACTCTTTTCCACTCAGGAGTTGCCCACAGTGAGAAACGCAAAACAGCTATGGGCATACTTATTGCCCCCCGGTTTAGCGCCCGTACATTGAACGAGAGGGTAGCCTTCCGCCTGGATTCTTTTTTTTTTTTTAATTCATCATGAGGACTCTCTGAGCTGTCCTTGGTCTGTCTTGGTACGACCTATTTGCCATCGGTGACCCTGCCAGGGGTATAAAACGCCAGACAATTTAAATCCTAGGATCACTGGGACACTCAAACCCCTCCACCACGATAAGGTGACGGCTTCTGGACAGGTGTTTCCTTTGTTCAGAATATTAGAAAAAAAAATCTTCAAAATTCAGAATTGTTTCAATTTTGAAAATACAGTCAAACCTCGGTTTTCGAACGTCTCGGTTCTCGACCAATTCGGTTTTCGACCAAAAATTTTGAGTTTTTTATGCCTCGGATGACGAACAAATTTCGGTTCTCAAACAAACTGAGCGCACTTGAATTCACCACTTAACTCCTCTCGCCTTCCTTACACGAGGAAATGACGCTTCCTCGGGTAGACGAAGTGACGCTTCCTCGTGTCGCTTTCCATTGTGGGCAGACGTGTTCAATAAACATTTTTTTTTTTTTTTAAAGAGCGTGGTTTCGGTTTTCGAACAATTTCAGTTTTTGAACAGCCTTCTGGAACGGATTATGGACGAAAACCGAGGTTTGACTGTAGTGCAACATGATGTAGAGTCAAGAGTCACATTTCAATGTTTATTCAATGACTTATTGTTGGAAAAATAACACTGACTGTACATGCAGTACTTTCAATAACTTGTAGTTTGCTGTCTGGGATGTGACTGAAAAATAAATATGTGATAAACTGGGTTTGTGTGATAGAGTCAAGGCCGGACTGGCATATAGGTATTACATATCAGTCAATGGGCGGCCTGGTAGTCCAGTGGTTAGCACGTCGGCTTCACAGTGCAGAGGTACCGGGTTCAATTCCAGCCTCCCTGTGTGGAGTTTGCATGTTCTCCCCGGGCCTGCGTGGGTTTTCTCCGGGTACTCCGGTTTCCTCCCACATTCCAAAAACATGCATGGCAGGCTGATTGTGCACTCTAAATTGTCCCTAGGTATGAGTGTGGGCGTGGATGGTTGTTCGTCTATGTGTGCCCTGAAATGGGATGGCAACCAGTTCAGGGTAGACCCCACCTACTGCCAGAAGACCGCTGGGATAGGCTTCAGCATACCCGCGACCCTAGTGAGGATAAAGCGGTTCGGAAAATGGATGGATGGATATCAGTCAATGTCACAATATATTGACTATTTTTTTTTCTTCTTTCCTCTCCAAAATAAAGACCCAGGGAAAAAGGCTGAATTTTTAACCTCAAATAAGAGTTTTAAAGAACTATGAAAAAGTCAAATTAACTGGTTGATTTAAAGATTAAGGAATTACTTTATCAAGATAAGGTGCTTTATAGGGCTGGGTGAGTCACAATGTGCATTTTATATTATTCAGGATTTGTTTTACACATTTAAAATAGAACAAGAATTGAATTGATTAAGAATAAAAGATTAAATAAATCACAACTACCAAGAGGAAAAGTACCATTCATTTGGTAGTAAAAGCTGCTTTTGTGATCCGCATTAAGTTGTAATTATGGCACAAATCCAAAGACATACTGTAGCCTCTGCCGACAGCACTCAGAATGTTTGTGTTTGCTTCCTGAATTTTTTAATCGATATTAGCTTGAGTGCAATTTCTACTGGTATTGATCAGGTGTCTATCGTGATAGTTTGTGATATTGAACCATTGCCCAGCCTTAGTAACCCATATCCATAAACTTGCTGAAATCACTCATAGCACAAATAGGATCAAGTCTAAATAAAAAGCAACGTTTTGCTGACTTTAATTTACTAGATAATGCTATTTTATTTGCCATTGCTTTACCTCTACCTCATACATTTGCTGGCTAATGGCTATTTAGCATCGACGCCACTTTGCATACAGTGATTGATGGCTCATTCATTCAAATCATATCTCAATGACACAAAAATCTCTTAGTGCTTCATAATTCTAAAAGCTGCTTTTTACTTCGTTCCTGCTTGTATTATGAGTGTGTTGAGCAGGGTTCTGGATAGGTGTGCATTTTATTTCATGAAACCATGACTGTGGATGGGACGATAAACAAGAATCTATTCTAAAAACAGATTCTTGTAAGATTTGTATTCAAAAGTGACTCAGGACCTATACTCGCTTCAGCAGTGTTTTTCAAACTTTTTTGAGCCAAGGCACACTTCTTTCATTGAAAAAAATCTCGTGGCACACCACTAGCTGAAAATGTGACACCCCCCCCCACACACACTTATTTTAACAATTAAGTGTTATATTGTTACTATAACCGTTTTTAACATTGAAGATGACGTTATAACAGCTTGAATTGGAATCAAATGAACACAAAGAAAACAGTATTTTATCATCTTTCATATTTATTGTTTCACTGTCGTCCTGCATTAATGCGTCACAAATTCGCTTGTCTCTCGTCGAAACACAAGGCAATTGGCTAGCTGTTGCTGCTCCCTATCGGTATAGGAGGGTACTACATCATTACTTTCTGGGCAAGAGACCGCACAGGCATACAAATTGGATATTTTCCCGCGGCACACCTGACAATGTCTTGCGGCACACCAGTGTGCCGCGGCACACGGGTTGAAAAACACTAGGCTACAGTGTAGCTCTGCTACTAATGTTGATTTGTTCAGTTTTCTGTCTGTATTGTAAAAGGATTAATGGGCTACTACCTCCAAGATGTGGGCTGGTCTCTGGGGGTAAGATAGAGGAAAATCATAACTGGCCCTAAAAGTCCTGGCATCTGCACTGTATGCCCGATAGCCAATCCGACTCTGGGCATTAATATTCAATAGTACTGTTTTATTTCCAGGTTGAAATGGCTTTTTTTTTTTTAACTTGTTAAAGACAAGGAGATAGCTCCGTCAGCCTAGACATTGATGTGGCGCTATGTTCCAATGTTGTCAATATGCGTTTCCCTGCCAACTGGAAGTTAACATGACACCTTGCACCAAATGCACCATTGATCTAACTTGCAAATGGCAAAACTACAGCAAACATAAACTAGTGAGAAGTTAAAACAGTTTGGTGCTGTACAATAAGTTCCAAAGGTAATATCATCATTGTGGATTGCCACAGAGCTCCCTGTAGATAAAGAGTGACCTTGAGAACCTGGGACCTATTTGATGAACTTTGATGCAAGACAAGCTAAACTAAGATAAGATAACCTTTATTAGTCTCACAATAGGGAAATAAGCATAATTTCAGCATCGATAGTGGACACAGGAAAAAAGAATAGCACATAAGGCACAGGATATGTGCCCATCCTATATGCCACAGGTGTCAAAGTCAAGGCCCGGGGGCCAGGACTGGCCCGCCACATCTATTTATGTGGCCCACGAAAGCAAATCAAGCATGTCAAGTTCCCTGATGCTTGCTAAAGTCTGAACCAAAATTTCAAATTGTCACATGTAATCCACAATAACAGTCATTATTCTTGATTTCTGATTTTAAAACGAGTTATTCATCAATTTGTTTTGCGCTGTGCATGTAATATGTGGAGGGGTTTAAACATTTATGCGGTTTCCCAAAATTCATAACGGCCCTCCAAGGGAAACCATAACTACAATGTGGCCCGCGGCAAAAATGAGTTTGACACCCCTGGTATATGCTCAAGCATATATTGAGTATTAGTTTAGTTTTTGCAAAGGCAACGTCAGGGAAGCTAGCTATCAGCGGCAGAGATTGATAAGTTTCAGCAAGAAAAGGAACAAGACAACAATGTCCAGGTAGAGGCTGAGAGCAGCAAACACATACTCCTCAGGAGAGACCTCATATTTTCTGTGTTTCCCACCCACGATGAGCTGGGTATCAAACACCAGGTACTGCAGAGATAGAGAGAGAGAATATGCTTCAACAGCAGCAGTGATGACAGCTCGTTTGTGTGATTAAAGACATATTGAGCCGACAAGGAGAAACAGTTGGAAAGAAACAAATAGAGCAGTAGTTCGAGTGGAGGTCTAATAGTCATAAGTAATTCCATAGTTGATGTTGCACAGGGGCGGCCCGGTGGTCCAGTGGTTTGCATGTCGACCACACAGTGGAGAGGTACGGGGTTCAATTCCTGCTTCGGCCTCCCTGTGTGGAGGTTGAATGTTCTCCCCATGCCTATGTGGGTTTTCTCCGTGTACTCCGGTTTCCTCCCACATTCCAAAAACATGCATGGCAGGCTGACTGAACACTCAAAAAAATTGTCCCCATGTGTGAGTGTGAGCGTGGATGGTTGTTCGTCTCTGTGTGCCCTGTGATTGGCTGGCAACCGGTTCACGGTGTCTCCCACCTATTGCCCCGAAGACGGCTGGGATAGGCTCCAGCACGCCACCCCCCACGACCCTTGTGAGGATAAAAAGCGCATCGGAAAATGGATGTTGCACAGCTGAAAGTAAGCCTGTTTGGTTCTGTCAGCAGTGCAATTGCAAAGAGATGGCAGTGAAATTAAACCCCCCATTGTTAAGAGGTGTAGACTAAAATCAAAGGACACAAGGAAATCAGAGTCTATCTATTTGCACTCACTACTCAAACTGGAAATGGAGGTATGCAACTTGGCCCTTGGATCAAATTTTGCATCTCATTCACACTGGTGACATTAATCTCTATTTGATGGTTATTTATTTCACTTGGAAAGGTCAATGTTGGGGAGCTTATTTCATTCCTGACAGGTGCAGAGTACTCACCAAGGAAAACAGCAAGGTGCCCAGGCAGGCATAGGCAATGTAAGCAAACTGTTCAAAGACAAAATTGTCAGAGGAATTTTTAATTGCAAGAATAAAAATATTGCAAAAAAATGTTCTACAGCTGTGTCTCAGTACAATTCCTTCTATCTGGAGGGCAGTGTTGAGTTTTGGCTCAAGATCATTTGCCTGATGAAAAATGGCTATCAATGCCAATTCTAATTATAAATAGCTGGCCTGATGCAAAGGAATGTGCTGTTGCTGTTGAGTAAGCTGGTATGTGTCCTATAGGATGTTTGTGAGAGATCAATGCAGCTTTTGTTGATTTGTATGTTTATTCCAGAAGTGTCTCACTGCTCACATGGATGCAAACATGCCTGCATCATTTACCTGCGATCGAAAGATTGCACAGAGCAGTCCAAAGGAAAAGAGAGTCCAGCCAAACACCCACAGGCTTCCACTTGCCATGGTGAAGTCATACTAGTGACACAGAGAGACAGACAGACAGACCGACAGACAGAGAGAGAGAGAGGGAGGCGGGGGAAGAGAGAGAGAGAGAGAGAGAGAGAGAGAGAGAGAGAGAGAAAGTCACCAGCCTTGAAAAATACACAGCACTGTTGGCAGAACATCTTTCATTTATGCTCATTACCACAATAAAGGCCACTCAAGGTCATCGAACATTACAGCCAGGCTGCAAGGCATCCTAGATTACTGAGTGATGAGGACACATTGCAGTTCAACACGTGAAACTACTCACAATTATGGGTATAATGATCCTGGATAATTAATCAACCAGATGCAACACTGACACGGAGGAAGGGAGGCAGCAATTTAGCCTGCCTGCCCTATTCAGAGAGACAGAAAAAGATGGCAGCTACCACAGGAGAATCACTATCCCTGATTACCCGACCTGCAAGTGCAAGATGAATACAAAGTGTAAAACAAAACTCACAAAAAAGTAACAAGATCTATAATAGTTAATCTATTACATGCTTATTAAACTTGATTTGGTGCCTATTAACCTGTGGAATCTCTTTAAGTGAATAGTAAGTTGATTAATGAGAATATAGCCTATTCAAGTCATTATCAGACATGCATTCCACCTTTAAATGCAGTTTAAGTAGATGGAATAAAATCAATATACTTGTTCACTTTAGTAGCAAGGATCCTTTAAATTTCAAACCGCATCTAAATAAAAGGCAACTCTCACTGAATTTCCATTCGTCTGTTTCATTATTTCTACTCATAACATACTGTAACACAACATGCACCCTAACTATAAGTCATTTAAGACGTATTCACAGTCATCATTAGCCAAACTCTCAAAACAGCAGTGGTTTCTGATACAATACCACACTTTGTAATCAGACTAGGAAACATCACTCAAACCTTAGCTGTGGGGAAATTGAAAAGCCTGAATTGAAAGTCAAACAGAGCATGATTTCAGCAGCAGAATCTTGGTGTTTGCTGCTCTACATGAAATAGGCCATGTTTAAACTGAGCTGTGTGGTTTCTTTCAGTTTGCTATGGTGGAATTTGGAATTGGATCTAAATTGTTGAGGGGACCAAAAGACTTGAGAACAGCACATCTTTAGTTGGACAAACCTCCTTTGATCCACCAATCAAATTGAACCAAAGGATTCAGCCAGACACACAGTTACGGGATTGGTGAACAGAAAATTGCCACTTTAGTTCAACAACAGGAATAGAATGGCTGGAAAAACACTCACAACAGAGAGAGGATTCAAGCATTACTTATACATGGATAATGTCAGCACTGCTCTAACATGCCTAATTTTAATTTATTGGTAGGTCACGCTGCATCCTACAGATATTATGTCACTACTTGCACACATAATACAGTACTGCAGGGGTGCCTGTTACGTCGGTCGTGATCGACCGGTAGCTCTCGGACTGGTCCCAAGTCGATTGCGAGGGGTTACGAGGAGGAAAAAAAAAATCTAACAAACATTTTTGTGTCTCGGTGCATGTTAGTAATATATATATATATATCAGTGGCGGACCCTGAGGGCCAGCAAGGCCTTCTCTGCTGGCCTAAACATTCTCAGAAAAGTAAATTTACTTTTCTGAGAATAACATAAATTTGTTATTTTATTTTCATAAATATGTTAACAAAATTATTCTCTGTATTCTTTACGTCATATTATTTCCACTTAGTTGAGTGGCTTTCAATGTTATTTAAAATAACATTGAAAGCCACTCAACTAAGTGGAAATAATATGACGTAAAGAATACAGAGAATAATTTTGTTAACATATTTATGAAAATAAAATAACAAATTTATGTTATTCTCAGAAAAGAAAATTTACTTTTCTGAGAATGTTTAGGCCAGCAGAGAAGGCCTTGCTGGCCCTCAGGGTCCGCCACTGATATATATATATATATATATATCAGTGGCGGACCCTGAGGGCCAGCAAGGCCTTCTCTGCTGGCCTAAACATTCTCAGAAAAGTAAATTTACTTTTCTGAGAATAACATAAATTTGTTATTTTATTTTCATAAATATGTTAACAAAATTATTCTCTGTATTCTTTACGTCATATTATTTCCACTTAGTTGAGTGGCTTTCAATGTTATTTAAAATAACATTGAAAGCCACTCAACTAAGTGGAAATAATATGACGTAAAGAATACAGAGAATAATTTTGTTAACATATTTATGAAAATAAAATAACAAATTTATGTTATTCTCAGAAAAGAAAATTTACTTTTCTGAGAATGTTTAGGCCAGCAGAGAAGGCCTTGCTGGCCCTCAGGGTCCGCCACTGATATATATATATATATATATATCAGTGGCGGACCCTGAGGGCCAGCAAGGCCTTCTCTGCTGGCCTAAACATTCTCAGAAAAGTAAATTTACTTTTCTGAGAATAACATAAATTTGTTATTTTATTTTCATAAATATGTTAACAAAATTATTCTCTGTATTCTTTACGTCATATTATTTCCACTTAGTTGAGTGGCTTTCAATGTTATTTAAAATAACATTGAAAGCCACTCAACTAAGTGGAAATAATATGACGTAAAGAATACAGAGAATAATTTTGTTAACATATTTATGAAAATAAAATAACAAATTTATGTTATTCTCAGAAAAGAAAATTTACTTTTCTGAGAATGTTTAGGCCAGCAGAGAAGGCCTTGCTGGCCCTCAGGGTCCGCCACTGATATATATATATATATATATATCAGTGGCGGACCCTGAGGGCCAGCAAGGCCTTCTCTGCTGGCCTAAACATTCTCAGAAAAGTAAATTTACTTTTCTGAGAATAACATAAATTTGTTATTTTATTTTCATAAATATGTTAACAAAATTATTCTCTGTATTCTTTACGTCATATTATTTCCACTTAGTTGAGTGGCTTTCAATGTTATTTAAAATAACATTGAAAGCCACTCAACTAAGTGGAAATAATATGACGTAAAGAATACAGAGAATAATTTTGTTAACATATTTATGAAAATAAAATAACAAATTTATGTTATTCTCAGAAAAGAAAATTTACTTTTCTGAGAATGTTTAGGCCAGCAGAGAAGGCCTTGCTGGCCCTCAGGGTCCGCCACTGATATATATATATTTTTTTTGTATTAATGCACATTGCACCCATCAGTCTCACTTTCACAAAAAGTATTAAAAAAAAAAAAAATAAATAAAGCAGGTCATCTTTAACATTCGGTGGCGCATGACCTGCATCACTGGAAGTTCTTCGCTCTCAGCAGTCTGCAGTTGCTGCTTGTGAACAGAGCTGTTGCGCTGTATCTTTTATCGTTATAATTATTCTCATTCAGAGTTTGTTTCATGTACAATTCACCGATGGCACGGACAAAGAATGGGAATCTGGAGGGCCGGGAAAAGCATTTTAAAACGGAACGTGTGAGCTACGATAGTTAACAGGCTATTGCTCATCATGGCATGCGTGTGTATGTGCGTGCGTGCGCGGGGCAATGGGTCGATCGCGGGAGGTTGGGCGATCGAAAAGTAGATCTCCGGTCAAACAAGTTTGGGCACCCCTGCAGTACTGTACATCATGTCACACTTACATCTTACAATCCAGATCAGGATTTTCCACCTTAAACCCTAAGGTGGCTAACTGAGCTGAACTTTACCACCTAGTGGAAAAGTAACTTTCGTAACATGAACCCACCAATAAATAAATACAAAAATAAATAAGGGGTGGGGATGCAGCAGGTATTGTAGATTAGCCTGTTTCAGGGTCACTGGAGGATTGCGTTGTGCCAGGAACAAGGATGACACCTGATTGACAAATGCACTGGTTTTAACAGTAATCATTCTCTTGCCAGGGGAGAGAGCTCATTGATATTTGAAGCTTTGCTGATGACTGCATGCTCAGTTTATCACCTTTAACTGCCATATCTTATCCCACTTATCCCGGAGCCAAGTCACTGCGGTTTTATGATGACAGACCTTCTGCTGCCAAGTGAAAGTGAGTGTGTGACGCACCTCACCTTTGACTGCATTGCAAATACGCTCAGGGAGAAGGACACAAACGCTGTCGCACCCACGGCCCACAGAACAGGTTCAGCTGAGAAGAACCTGCAGACAGCCAAATGAAACAAAAGGCGAATATAGTTTGAGGGACCCCCCCTCCCCCCATAGTTTCAGAACTGAGAAGCATTGACAGAAGGCCTCGGTCCATGGTTGTCGCATAAAATGTGAGATTATTTCCTTTGTGTCTCAGCTAGAGATGGCGCCCACAAGACATGCAACATGATGTAATGCTCAGCCTCATTTTATATTAGTTTCCCTTACGACAGACTTCCATGAATATGATGATTGCAATGCATTATTCACACAAAGCCTTCAACTGAAACTGTGCATCAAATCACTCAAACATCACATTCTGTCTTTGAACCATGTGTTTCTTTAAAGTACTTTCCCTGGCATTTTTACATGCTTTGTGTATTAAGCAAGTAGGTAGGTAAGAAAATGAATGGAGGGTAGGACAGGCGGCTGGGTATGTTTTTGTTTTATTTTGTTTTTGTTTTAATACAGTGAAACGTCTCTACAACGAAATCATGTTTGCAGGAAGAAATTTTTCACAACAGGGGGTTTTTATCTGTAGCAAATTTGATCTCAGATGTAAGCACACACGCACCCACACCCCCACCCACCCACACACACACACACACACACACGCACACGCACACACATACAAACGAATGTGTACACGTAGTACACACAAACGTATGTGTACTCTATTTTTATTCCAGTAGTGCATAAGAATGAGCACACACTTATTTGACACTTCATATTGTCAGTGTAGAAAGAAAAAAAGGGAAAGAAATTGCGAAATTTACGATCAACATTCACTTTCACTTACATCAATTTCTTGGATAATGTCTTTTATTTTGCTTGCTCCGTCTTTCATTTTGATCACTTTTACCCTCTCTTCCAGCATCAGAGCTCTTCTTGTCTTAGCTGCTTGACA